TTTCATTGATGATTTTTTACTTTCTTAGGTATAAGATTGTTGTCGCATGAGGGTCTGGAGTTTGGCTCTTTGGCTTTTTAATCCGTGCCATAGAGATGAATGCAGCACCCAATACTGAGTTCTTTCAACCTTTTCACTAATATTCGCTTCTATGTTTGTTTAATCAGTATGCGGATCTTTTCGCTGAGGTTGATACATTTTTAATTTCGTCTGTGATGATTTTTGATCAAATTTCTTGCCCTTTGTTATTTATTACCATCTTTTTATTAAGAAATTGTGAAATTGATGATTCCGGGGAATCTGAAATTGTGGTTATTGAGTGGTAATTCAGGCAGCCTACTTGCCACGATAACAAATGGCATGAGAGGTGTTAAACTGCTCGTATATAAAATGCTTTTGCTCTTCAGACTTGCTGAAATTATTTTGAAGCTGGTCTAGTAAGCTTACGTACAGTCTTTATTATTACTTTCAAGATTCTCCTTTTGATTTCCTCTTGTTTTGTTTTTCTGGGTTTGAGTGGGTGCGGATTTATGTTTCCTTTGTCAACTGTGATAAGTATTCTGCAAGAACTAGCACCTCCGGTGTTCAATGTTCGTCGACATGGAAAGTTAGGTCTCTGCCATTGCAAAATTTAAGGCTAAAAGTTAATTGATTTAAACAGTGTTTTAATTTAAAATTAAAATATTAATATCAGTAACTGATTAATATTCTTAGTAGGAAAAACAATTTAAGATTTTCATAAAGAGAGAAAGTTGGTTGGCTTCAATGTTTCTGGTGCTGCCTAAATTCTTGAGAGCTGTCACTTTAGGGGCAAGGCAAAGTGAAGAGAGTCTGACTTTATAACAGAATATTTTCTTAGAAATAATCTTTAACAATTATGTTTTCTATTATTGTTTATATGGATTGCTTGGTTTAATTTTTATACTAATTACAATTTAAATTTCAGTCGATAAAATTAATTTATTTGATAAATTTAATAAAGAAAGATTGAAATTTATATACAATTGTGTAGAGGACAAATAAATATAATTATGTCAAATTTACGTATCTCTACGTAGAGAACAAAATTTTCTTCAATTGAGCTTTACGTTGAGAATGGAGAATGTTTTGGGTCGACACAAGGGCTTTTTCACATTAGGGTTACAATGCCGAGTGGTGTGGATGCTCATAGATTCAAAGTTTTGGCTTCATATAATGTTCAAGATTTACAAAATCATTAGCTCATATTTACAGATGTAATTTTTTTCTAATCATTTTATCCAATCCATAAATAAAATATGAAATTTACATGTGAGGGATGCTTTTATTTCCATATTAATAGGACTAATACTATGTTTGGATAAATTCGTTCGAAATCCTCCCGTACAAATATTTTTTATGGACATTTATCACCTATATCCTTTAGTGTTACAGAAAAGTTGATACGAATAACAAATTTATGCATTGATGTGAATTTTTACAAAATATTTGCGTCTCTTAAAATTCAAACTATTTGTTTAATATTATTATGTTATTTATTTCATTATATTTTTAAAATATAGTTTGCATGAAAGTGAAAAAAAAAAATCCAAAAATTGTCTAATTTTTTTTAATTTTGTTTTTCGAAACTTTCTTTTTATTAAATTTAACTCCCTAAATTTCATAGTTGGAAGCACAAGGTACATATAGAATTGTATATTCTTTATATTGTAATTAATGATAATCAATTGTTTTTTAGTTACATAAAAATGATATAATATTAAAAGATCTCGAGTTTTAAATTTAGGTCGAAAATATGAATTATTAAAAATGACATAAAATCTTTAAATATTATTTTGTTTTTATTATTATTGATTTTGTTTAATGTGAAATTTACTTTTCTCGGATGTTCAATATTGTATTTAATTTGGTAAATTTTATTCAATTAATGTGTTTATGATTTTTTAAATTTTTAATTTTTTTTTCTTAAGTTATTTAAGTATAAAGATGATAATATTAATATTGAGTGTCAATATCAATAGGTTAATTGTTTCGTTCTAGTATCTTCCAAAAGGAAAAAAAAAAGATGAGAGTTTCCTCGATCTAAAATAAAGCATTTGGATTTTTCTAATAACTAAAAAGTATATCAGAGCTTCCGATGGTGGAGGAACTTGATAATAGGAAAAAGATTGATTTTAGTTATAAGATATCTAATGAATCCATTGCTTAAATTGAGATATCATTCAAAGTAAAAGATATAAAAAATATTTGGAGTAGCTTTTTCCACCATCCATAAGAGAAAATTGTAAATAAATAACATTCATATTCTTTTTAGTAGTAGAAAAATGTAAGATGTAAAATATATGATGTTAGATGTGGAAATTAATGTAAAATATATAAGGTTGTTGTAAATTATTTGCTTGTTTAATACCTAACAACTTAGTGGTATAGGATCAAACAATGCTTCTCTTTGATCATTAAAAGGTAGTTTAACAACCTTGTTAAAATTAAATGGTTTATATAAGTTAGTCAAACACTTGAGTTGCAAGATTGAAGTAATAAATACACAATTATTTTATGCTAGTTCACTCCATTGAGCTATGTTCAGTTCTCCTCCAAAATCTCTTAGAGAGTTCAACTATAATCTTCAACAAGATTACAATTGAGTATTCGCACCGCTCCTAGTATCACTTAGTCAATCCAAGTAACCTTGTTACTCTGACTAGAATTGAGTATCATCCATTTCTGGTTGTGTAGTATTCTTCACCACTCCTAGCTTCTCTAGACAATCCCGATATCTTCCTGATATGTTGTGTAGTTGAGTTTCACCCACTTTTGGTTTACATCAAACAAACTCGTCTAGCTACTGTTTAATTCCATCGAGTTAATCGTTAAGTGTTTGTATTTTCTTTAGAATGTGCAATCAATCAGATTGCTTACAAGTCCTTAGACGATTACTCCTATAGAGAGGATATATTTACAATACAATTCAATCTAACAGACTTTTTAGAGTTTTCTCTCTTTTTACAAATGTAAGCTTATAATTCTATGAAGCTTGAGAGTATTTTTCTTTTCTTTTGAGCTTGTTTTTCTTCTCAGATGATTTCTTTCGTATTCATGTGCTTATTTTGTTAATCTTCTCTTCAAGGATCTTTAATTTAGAGGCTTCAAGAAAATATTTGTTAGATAGTACTTGTTTTGATCTTTAGATCTTGTTAGCCTTTTCTTAGGTAGCACCATAGGTTAAAGTCAACTTGTCAAAGAAAACATGTTTTTTGAGTACTGTATCAAAAATAGCTTGTATAAAATCTTTGACATGACTTTTGAAAGAGAACATTTCGTGAATGTCTTCTTTGTCTTTAACGTTCAATTCTGATTTGTATATGATATAGCAGGTGGATACTTGACATATGTATCTGCAAAGAGTAAAGTATATATGCATGCAAGCGNGTATTCTGCAAGAACTAGCACCTCCGGTGTTCAATGTTCGTCGACATGGAAAGTTAGGTCTCTGCCATTGCAAAATTTAAGGCTAAAAGTTAATTGATTTAAACAGTGTTTTAATTTAAAATTAAAATATTAATATCAGTAACTGATTAATATTCTTAGTAGGAAAAACAATTTAAGATTTTCATAAAGAGAGAAAGTTGGTTGGCTTCAATGTTTCTGGTGATGCCTAAATTCTTGAGAGCTGTCACTTTAGGGGCAAGGCAAAGTGAAGAGAGTCTGACTTTATAACAGAATATTTTCTTAGAAATAATCTTTAACAATTATGTTTTCTATTATTGTTTATATGGATTGCTTGGTTTAATTTTTATACTAATTACAATTTAAATTTCAGTCGATAAAATTAATTTATTTGATAAATTTAATAAAGAAAGATTGAAATTTATATACAATTGTGTAGAGGACAAATAAATATAATTATGTCAAATTTACGTATCTCTACGTAGAGAACAAAATTTTCTTCAATTGAGCTTTACGTTGAGAATGGAGAATGTTTTGGGTCGACACAAGGGCTTTTTCACATTAGGGTTACAATGCCGAGTGGTGTGGATGCTCATAGATTCAAAGTTTTGGCTTCATATAATGTTCAAGATTTACAAAATCATTAGCTCATATTTACAGATGTAATTTTTTTCTAATCATTTTATCCAATCCATAAATAAAATATGAAATTTACATGTGAGGGATGCTTTTATTTCCATATTAATAGGACTAATACTATGTTTGGATAAATTCGTTCGAAATCCTCCCGTACAAATATTTTTTATGGACATTTATCACCTATATCCTTTAGTGTTACAGAAAAGTTGATACGAATAACAAATTTATGCATTGATGTGAATTTTTACAAAATATTTGCGTCTCTTAAAATTCAAACTATTTGTTTAATATTATTATGTTATTTATTTCATTATATTTTTAAAATATAGTTTGCATGAAAGTGAAAAAAAAAAATCCAAAAATTGTCTAATTTTTTTTAATTTTGTTTTTCGAAACTTTCTTTTTATTAAATTTAACTCCCTAAATTTCATAGTTGGAAGCACAAGGTACATATAGAATTGTATATTCTTTATATTGTAATTAATGATAATCAATTGTTTTTTAGTTACATAAAAATGATATAATATTAAAAGATCTCGAGTTTTAAATTTAGGTCAAAAATATGAATTATTAAAAATGACATAAAATCTTTAAATATTATTTTGTTTTTATTATTATTGATTTTGTTTAATGTGAAATTTACTTTTCTCGGATGTTCAATATTGTATTTA